GTGAAGCGCTTTGGAGATCCAATTCAGGTCATACCTGCACCCCCCAAGTACCCTTGGGAATTCCGCATCACTAACTTGGTTCTGCAGACAAGCAAAGTCACTGGTTTGGATTACTACTTGAGTGCTGCAGGTAGGAATCCATTATGCCAAGATCCGAGTGGTGTTGGTTGTTACAAGTCCATGCCCACTTCTCTGTCACAATCAGATTCCCAGTGGTTAAGCCTTGCAGATTCCTCTGCAATCTCCATGAAGCAAGACTGGATTGGGCGCTCCTAAGTGACCCATAACACTGGGGGACCTACGGGCTCAGGATACCTGATGGCATACTGCTGTTCTGGACTAGGGGAGGGGCCATGTGGTCAACCTACCCATCTAATTTGATCTGTCTAGGTCTCTGATGCAGGAGGGTACTTCAGCCTCACCATGTTCTTGAATTCTCTCAGTGGTGTCTTGTCACTGAATACTTCTTGTGCAGAGGAACAAAGTCAGGAATGACCTATGTCACCATCTTGGTGACATCGCTCTCTAAACTATCTTAGGACATGCAGAAAGAATCAGGAATTGTATTACAACAGTGGTTCTTAAAGTGTGTTTCCTCACAATGAAGCAGCCTCATGTTTAAATAATATCTTAAAAGGTTATGTGGTCAGTACCTTGCTTGAAGACTAATTGAACAATTTGGACATTTCTGGCTTTAATCCTAAAAATGATACTCAAAAGTAAACCTAGCTTATGGTTTCTCAAGTTTGGGAGAATAATCAAATATCACTAATGTATTCTCATACCAGCAGCAAAACCCAAAACACTTTCAAACTAAAATGAAAAATATGGAGCAAAAATAGTTTTCCTTAAATATATTATAAAATTAAAAGTATACTAGGGCAAAGTCCTCATGCTATTATTTGAATTAAGTTGAATTCAGCAAGCATTTATAGGATTAATTATGCACCCATAACTTCCTAAAGCAAATATTTTGGGTGTTTGGGAAGAGAACGGTTTAATATTACATTGCTGGACTTCTCTCTCTCAAACTCAGTTGTTGTGATGATACTGGATAAGTAGCTTAATCTGCTTCAGTTACCTCACCTGTAAAAGTAAATTCCTACTCCAATGCCTAACCAACAAAGGTACTTATCATATACATGTTAGCTCTTAACTGCTTCAAATTCTTAACATGTTCATCTTAAGGATAATTTAAAAGATTTTCTTCATCTGTGAATTTTTTATATTGCCTTGCCAATTTTGTCTTTCCAAAACTTTTTTCTCCTCTAGTTAATTCTGGAACAAAGTATAATTTAACAGTGCCTTTCTTGAGCCCTCAACTGGAATTTTTCTAGTCTACTGAAAACAGTAGTTGCCTTTTGGCAAACAAACCAACCCCCCAAATCCATATTTCATTGCCTTTTGTCATGTACCCCTTCCCATGCCAAATCAAAACAAAAATCTGGAATTATAGGCTCAGAATAGCAAATGTATTAACAAATAAATTTTCATTTTCCTAAAGACAACACTGGTAGAGGTCAAGGATAAATTAAACTCAGCACTAAGAGGTCTCCTCATGAACACAGGCCTTAACTTCTTGCCTAATACCTCTATCTCCAATGTTCTCTGATCTTGAAGTTAGCAACTCTGATAGAATTGAATGTTATAGTTCCCATTTGAAAGGTCGTGTTTGAAGTTTTGAAGTTTTTGGTCCAGAAGAATTCTTGGTAGCCAATAGCAAGTTTAGGCAAAAAAGGGAATACGGGTCTTTCTAATATTAATATGAATTAGCATTTAAAAAATCACTATACACCTCTGGGAAATAAGTTGAGGTATTATTTATTTATAACATATTTACATACTTACAAAATTGGTTTTATCCAATACATCATCCTGCATAGTATCTTAAAAATGAACACCAACCATATTCTGGGAGTAAAAATCCAATTTCCAATTTCTTAATAATTTACACATAACATCTTTTACAACATAGAATATTATCAGTTTGGCTTCACAGAACACAAATTACTGTTATGAATTTTTTTATAGCCAAGGAACAAAGTAAATCTAACAATATATTAATTTAGTTCACCCTGAGTATAACACTAATTTGCATAATTTTTGAATAGATGTACATAATACACATCTGTACTCTTATCTACTTACTATCATACTACCATTTTGTCTATATTCATTCATCACAATTTTTCTACCTCATTAATCCTTGAGAGAGAAGAACGAAGAATGGGGAGGTAAGAGACTGGGAATTGAGAACTGCTAGTATTGCCTGAAGCTTTCTGATTCCTGAAGTCTGTGGCACAGTTCTAGGTCCAGGGTTACCTGACAAACTTAAAGGAGGACCCTGAACTGAGGTTGATGTTAAATTACTCTTCCTGTTCTCTTTCACACTATTTAAACAAAGACATGTACAAACTTCTAAAATTCAGTAATTAGTTCCTGGAGCATTTCAAAAGGAAGAAAAAAATTGCAAACATGACCAAAACAACACAGAGGTGAAGCACTGTGTTGAAGACAGGTTTTTCTAAGAAGCTTGGGGGAGGAAAAAAAGCAACTCTCACTAAAAATGCTAATGTGGGAATTATAAGGAAATGAGCAGAAAGGGAGAAGAACAAGGGGCAGTTAGATGACTGGTAAAGGAAACCATGGTCTTAGTCTGATGATCAGCAACTTATGCCAAAATACCAACACTAGAGGACTGCCTGGCTAATGCTGCTGTGCTGAGATGATGAGTTATTTTTCTTGCCCCTTATACCAAACAGAAATCTAGGAATGAGAAAATAAACAAGACGCTGGGAAAGCTGAGCATGTGGAGTCAGTCACGCTCTGATGCCTTTCAAAGATAACTCTGGGCCAAAAAAAGAATGGGAGAGGCCAGAACCAGATCATGTATTTATCTTTTCCTTTTGCCCTTCCTCCTCCTCCTCACCTACTCACACTAAGCCAAAGAGCAGAAGGTTTACCAAATTACCAGGTGCAGGAAAACTATCTGGCTTCAACCAAGCCATAGAATAACTCTGCCACTGCTATTTAAGGATTCCAGGAAAATCGTCGCCTAATGAGCTTTCAGTGTTTGTGATTCTATGAAAACAACCCTCAAAAACATTAAATAAGATATTTGAGACTTGGTAAAATAAAAAGAAAATGAAAACTTAGACTTTTTTTAGGATCTGTAGAATTTCTCTATAACAGGACGGAAAGTAGCAAAAATATTTTAAGTATGTGAATGCTTTTTCCTTCATCCCTAATTATGATCAGTCATCAGGCCATCTCATGATAAAATACTGCTAGAAAAGGGTAGCTTTTGAAATCAGAGGATAAACACAAATGGTAGAGAAAGGCTTCTGTTTTTCATGAAAGATGGAGAAAACAGATGAACTGTTCTATAAAGAGCAATAAAGAAGGGAAAAAAGTATTCTGTCCCTATTACGCCACAACTGGTTACATCTCTTTTCTTTCTTCTCACTTGTAATGACATAGAAGTCTGAATTTCACTGAACAATCATTATAAACAGTGCTTGGAAATTAACATGTACCGTAGTTGCAAAATTAATACTTATTCATCTTATCTCTGGGTAAAAAACAGCAAAAATCAAATAAGTATTTGAAATAAACCATGTAATGACAGTGCAGGATAAGAGTTCAATACCCTTTATAAGATTATACTAATTCTTTTACACCTAAAGAACTGCATAGAAGAGTAAATAAAAGTCAAATTACATTTATATAAGAAACTATCAAAAGTTATTTGAAGTTGCATATAGAGTTCAAAAGTATAAGACAAACTATTTAATTTTGATTTATATAAATCCAAAAATGGTAAAATATATTATTTGGAAGAAAAAGCCTTTACTAAATACCAACATAATGGATTAAATAAACCATACTGAATATAAAAAGTTTCTTTGAAAACTTCCATACGAAGTAAAGGCAGAATGGCACAAAGTTAGAAAAGTAGTGTTTAAGACAAACTTAGTAAGAACTAACCCTAATTAAAATAAGAGGCATACAATCCCATAAACAAAGTAATTACCTCTCAAAAATTTCTCTATTACAGTGGGAAAATGAGCGGAAGCAGAAATAATGGGTGTTGTCAGTTTAGTGGGAAGTACTGAACAGCATTATCCAAAACGCCCCAAATGCTTCCAACTGAAAATATGCTTGAATCATTTGCCCCTTAGTTGTCATACAGCAATGAAAAAATAAAACATAGTGTTCAGAGTATAAATCTGTTAAACGCCAAAACCTATTTAAAAGAAAAAAGAAAAAAATTTGAATTATTCAGACTGTGTGTGTACATAACCAAAAAGAAAGGGATCAATTCTATTAATGCTATTATTTTGGCCCATGTTAAATGCACCATCTCCCTACGAGTAGGTGTAAATTGTTGAGCACACAGCTCAGCATCAGACCTGAGATCATGTGCACACATAGAAAGCTTCAAAGACTGACAGGGAAGAGATTAATTGTGAGTTAAAAGAAACAATGCTTCTAAAGAATATGCAATAAACATGTTCTTTAATTAACTGTATCTTCTTAAAAAACAAAATAATAAAGTACATATCATTAAGTTAAATGTCTTAACACATGAATCTCTACCTTATAAATTTGGTGTATCAAATTGTTCTATAAAAATATTTACATATTTTCTTTTTTGAGAACTATGGTACATGAAATTATATAATCATAAAAAGGATCTGTTTCTTTGCATCTACTGGCATGACACCATGCCTTTCTAGGGGAAAAAAACTGCAGCCTACAGGAAAATTATCAAAACTGCTGGATCATGAAGCTATCTAATTTAAGAAGATATAATCTCTTCTTTACCACCAGGCTCAAAGTGAGGAATTCTCAGTATCTTCGGTAAGTCTTCTCTCACATGGTCCTGGGTGGTAGGCGCTGTTTATACATGCCCGCCATCGCTTTGGCTGCACTGTAGATCATCTGTCGACGTGACATGCCAGTGAAAGTTAAGTGCCAGTCAGTCCGGCTGACATTTAGTAAACTCTTTTCCAGGACTTCGCCCACTGTCACCAAAAGGCCTGACCACCTCAGATTGTAGTCCTGGGGAGTTAGACTTTGAGCCTATCGAAAAATGAAATTGATATAATTTATACAACATTAAAAATATCATTAGAAATAGCTACAAGTGACATTTCAAAATCTCTGAGGTTACTTTTAATATAGAGTATGACAAACTCTGAGAAACAGCTAATGCTGCCAACTGTATAAAGTTACAAGGCTATGAAAGAATCAATACAATATTGCACATATTTGATTGAAATGTCCACATTAAGCTCATTTTCTTCCAATATAAGTCTTAAATCTAACAACTCAGAGTTAGAGGGGTTAACTTCTATTTCTACATTCAGCGTCACTTCAGGTTAATAAGAAAATTAGTGCTAAAATAGAAATATCATCTATATCTTTTTACAGTCATAAAATTCCTACAAGGAGGAAACTGCATATTAAAGGTTCATCCTACTCAGAAAATAGTGCAATTAATTTGTAGAGAAGTGTCCCCAGAAAGTTCTTTTTCATGTGACTATGTTAATACATATGAAATAATATTCCATGCAGGACAGCATCAGCCCTAGTTACATCATTTATACCTGACCCAAACTATATCTGCTCCCACTCAAATCATTTATTCACCTACACAGGAATAAGAGAAGAATAAACTCATTGCTTGATAATCAAGAATGATGTAGTTTTTCTGTTTTAGGGTGTTAGCTATAGTCCAGAGAAATATATCCACATGTAGAATGGATCTAGACAGTAATTCCCAAATGTGCTCCATAATACAATTGCCTGAGATGCTTTTTTTTAAAAACAAAACCAGTTTTTTATATCCCATCTAAGACCACTGACTTAGACACTCGATAGTAGGTTCCAAGAGAAAGGGTACAATAGTTACAGAACAACTCCCAAGTAAATTTGTGCAAAGAGCTGAGCAGCTGGGAGCCTGCTCTGAATTCTCTTCCACAATGGACACTGCACTATCAGTATTTCACTATATTTCAGAGAAGAGAAGCGACAGATTAATCACCAAAGTCCTCGAAGACTTCAGTAGAACTGTGCTTCTCAAATACGATATGTGCACAAAGCAACTGAGGATCTTGTGAAGCTGCAGCTCCTGGTTCAGTAGCTCTGGGTCAGGGCCAAAGAGCTTGCATTTTTAACAAGTTCCCAGTAAGACTTACGATACTAGGCCTAAGGATGACACTTTTGAGAAACAAAATATTTGGTATCAGCAAAAATCCAGGAATAGGTGGGTTTTTAATTGGGGTGGGGTGGGGGGGGGAGGGGATCATTTATACTTAACAAGCATATATTTAACAAGCATTAATTATGTGAATTTTTTTTCCAGATTTTCACAAATACACATGCTGGTTATAATTCCCTAAAGGGATGATTTCTATTCTCTTAAATAGAAAGTTCTAACAATAAGGAAGCATAGAAACATCTCGAGATGGATAAAAAAAGGAAACAGAAAGGAGAGCTGAACAATAGGGATAAAAGGTATGTATCTCAATACATGCATTTTTGTATCTTAATTTTGAACCTCATGACAAAAAAAAAATGAAACAATGACAACAGGAAAAAAAGGCAAAGTAAAAACCAAAGGACACTGACACCATTTGAATACCTCTCTTCAGAGTTAACTACATCAACAGTTTGTTGTGTATCTTTACAGGCCTTTTGTTTCTATTCATTTATATACATTTTAAAGTATGTGTGTGTGTGTGTGTGTGTGTACACACGTATATATATGGATCATACTAGATGTAATTTTTTAGTAGTATGTTTCAACATTAGCATATATAGCTTTATTTTATTAGTATATCTATAGTTTTGATGCTTTGTTCTTAGAGCATTTTATCTATTTCTTTCCAATATACATTTCTAAAAATAAAAACTATCTTTTTGCAATGGTCAGACATCTGTGCAAACAAAAAGTTCGCAAAGGTGTCAGCAAACTTTTTCTGAAAAGGGCCAAACAGTAAATACTCCAGGATTTGTAGGCCAGTCTCTACTGCAAATATTCAGTTTTGCTACTATATTACCAAAGCAGCCATAAACAATATATAAATAATCAGGCAGGGGTGTGTTCTAATAAAACCTCTTTACAAAAATAGGTAGGTATGCTATATTTGGCTGCAGGTAATTTTTTGGCTGACCTCTAATTTTGAGCAATGTTAAAGAGTGACAGTGATAGAAGCATCTTTATAATTACAAGGTTTCTAATGTTTTATTATTAAGTCTGATATTTGCTTTGATTTTCTAGTGCACACATACCCTAATCCTAAAGCTAAGCGTTATCAGTATAGTTGCTATATCTAGCAAATGTATTTCAACTCATTGAAATCCTTTTTCTCCTTTAATTTGTTCAATGTGTTGAATTACATAAACTGATTTGCTATTGTTTAAACCATATGGCCATTCTTGGGACAAATCCTTCTTGGGACAAGTCCTTCTTGGTCAGGATATGGTGCTGACTTATAAGAAGAAATATATATTTGGTCTTCAAACCCTGGGAATTTCCTAAGTGATAAGAGCTATCTATAAAGGGTCTTTTTGTTATGTTAATGAGGTTTCTTTTGGAAAGCCCTCAGGTTACCTGGGGGGGCGACGGGGGACGGACCAATCCTGAGTGAGAGGGTTGAAACTTTCAGTACCACTCCCCCCTCAACTCTGGGGAGGGGCAGGGAGTTGATGGTTGAATCAATGCCCAATGATTTAATCAATCATGCTTATGTAATGAAGCCTCCAAAAAAACCTAAAAGGAGAGGGTTTAGAGAGCTTCAAGACTGGTGAATACATGGAGATGCTGGGGGAGTAGTGCCCTCACAGAGGACATGCAAGCTCCAAGCCCTTTTCCCAAACCTTGCCAAGCTATGCCTCTCTTCCATCTGGCTGTTGCTAAGTTATATCCTTTTATAATAAACAAGTCATCTAGTGAATAAATGGGTTTCCTGAGAAGGAGGGAGTATGGAACTCCCAATCTCTAGCCAGTTTATCAGAATCACAAGTAACTACCTGGGTTTGCAAATGGCACCTGAAGTCTCAGCGCTAGTCTTGTAGAGACTGAGCCCCTTATCCTGTGGGGTCTGATGGTATCACCAGGTAGACAGTATCAGAATTGAGCTGAACTGTGGAACACCCAGCTGATGTCTAGAATCACTTGGTGATATTGAAAAACCCCTCCCACACATTGCAATTGGGTCCAAAGCCTAAATAAATAGTTGGTGTCTAAGTTGTATTTGCTAGACCAGCCCTGGCTCACAAAAACATGTGGTTTGCAAAGAGAAACAATGAAAGTGTGGCCAAAGAGGAACCACTGATTCATGGGTGACCATGTGGTCACCTGTGGTACAGAACAACAGTTGTGCTGCGACCAGTTACTAAAGGTTAAAATTACCAATGGAATTTAGAGATGGAGCCATGTCCATCTCTAGAGAATTGGTTCACTGGTTGCATAAGGAAATGCAAACTAAAAATAAAATAATCAATCTTTGGTTATTGTTACCTATAATAATAGCTAAACTAAATGGAAACAAAAATGCTGGGTTGGGCCCTGATACTAGACTAAACTCAGATTTCAGACTGAGCTTTGGCCATTAACCTCAAAGCCACTCCCTAAGATAAAAATTGTATAGAAGTAACACTACCCTTTAAGATCTCTGGTTGCTAAGAAAGTAGTCAATATGGAGCGAGGACAAAACTAGGAAACTACTGAAACAGGGGTTGTTTCGTTTTGTGGGTTGGTATCAGCTTCCTAAGTCACCTTTACTAAAATGGTTATGAAAGTGACTAATTTGGGAGGAATGTGTTTGGTTTTAAATGCTGCAGAGTAGAACATGTTTGGGTTGACAGAGGACCCACAGCTCACTACGGAACAATCACAGATGACCACATGCAATACAAACACGCAAGTATTCTGAAGTGAACAGTGAGTCTGGTAAACTGGATAAAGCCACTGTAAGGTCTATTTACGCCAAGAAGAGGACTGTCCATCAGCCCCAATAAATGCCAAGTAGAATACCCCAAGTGAAGCAGCTCATATGCTTCGTATGCAAGCCATGTGGGACTGGCTTTATGATGATCGAGACAGTCACCTGCTGAATATTGCCCGTTAACCAGGCCACGGTAAACATGATGGTTAAGGGGGCACCTTTTATGTGGGCACTTCATATAACCTTATTGTTGCAAAACTGAAAAAACAGGAAGCGTTATACAATTTGGATCTCAGCTTTCTTCACAGGTCTTATACATCTTTATAAAAACATTAGGTTAATTAACAAGAGAATGTGAAGAGGAAAGGGGACAATCAAGGGAATCTTCCTCACAAGGTGGAAATTCTTAAACAGTAACTAAGAAATAAGGTGAATAAAGCAAATTTTGATAGTAATAAAAGAGGAAACAAAGGGGAGAGTCACAGGACTCATCCTAGCAGGATGGAAATGTTTAGATGGTTGTTAAGAAATGGGATAAATAAAACAGAATTAATGGGGTTAGAGCAAAGGTTTAATACAGCACTTCCAAAGGTTGGGTGGGCCAGATGGACCCTTGTTGGCCTCCCAACATTAGAGGGCCCCAAACAAGTTTGCTCTATTTCCTGTTTGGAAATAGAAGGAGATTATAATGAGGAATCTGACCAGCAATCTCTTGAGGCAGTGGTTAGGCAGATTAAACAAGATAAAGATGGACCAAAGGGTCAAGGTCCCTTGGCTCAACTCCTTGCTGGGGACACAAAGCCCTCTGCCACAATAGTGGGTAAAATGGTCAGGGGATGGAGAAGTTTCTGAGACTCCTTGATATGAGAGTCCCCTGAGCTATGGTACCAAAGTCTATTGGTAAAGCCCTGACTAGTGCTGCAATTAGATTGAAAGAACATTAATGGAATGGTTGATAGGATTATGAAAGCCGAATGTTAAAGCAGGTAAAGAAGTTGAGTCTCCTTTACCTGGACGTTTTATGGGAATACTATGTCTGCTAGGGAATACCTCCCCTATCTAGTATTATAAAACCAAACCCTGTTGAAGTCTTAATGGAGACTATGGTTAGGAACATAAAATTGATGGAATTACCATAAAAGTTTGCAAGAGAATTGTTATGCTTGAATGAGCTTTCTATGAAATGGCTGTTTCTTTTACTTGACTGTATTTCGTGGATGGACACTGTATGTCACTTGAGAATGTTTCGTCTACCTAATACTGTAAAACAGAAGGCATGTAAATCTACCCTTCAAGTGCTGTTAATTAGACATGCTACATGGGAATCAGTAAGACTCTCTGAACCCACATAGTGTATTATGAAAGCTGGAATGCCGGTAGGGACAGAATCTCTGTGTCATAGCCTTATGTGGAACTTAGACTGGGGCTTATAAAAAAAAATCTGTGAGTGCCTCCCAGATTCTGGACTAGAGAATTTCCATTTGAGGAGCATTTACTACCCTGGCATTGGACATTATTAATTAAAGCTATTTCTATGAATGAAAGACATAAAGTGATCTTGAAACATGAAATACACCCCTAATGTCTAAGATGATGTTGAAAACACACCCTAACGGAGATGGTGGCACCCAGAAGACTTGCACAGTAACACAGGATCATGCTGCCCACGGAATGCAAGGAGGGCACACAAGCAGGGAGTCTCTTTTCTTCTAGAACCAACTCTAGACACACCTAAGGAGCTGCTCAAGCTGACTGCCACATGGCCAGTGCCCTATGAACAGCTCTCGACTGAACAACAAAGAGTTGCTGGGTTTTTAGATGGCAGTTCTAAGGGGAACAGACAACATCCCATTTGGAAGGCTCTGTTCTGACTGCAGAAGGTGAAAACAAATCAGCTGGGTGGGCTGAAGTGTATGCTGTTTTCCCAGCAGTGATGGGAGAACTGAACAGCGGTAAGACCTCCAATGTTTTGGTTTTTACTACTCACGGGCAGTGGCCAATGGTCAGGCAGCAGGATAACAGGAACCTGGCCTATTAAAGGGATGCCCCCAATGGGCTGAGGGAAAGGTACTTGCTAGACTAGTATTGCTGCCTGCAGTCTAGACCAGCACGGTGGCCAAACCCAAAGTCCTTTCCAAAGGTGGAAAAATTTTGGATGCAAATGGAAATAAAGAAAAACAGTAGCTATGGGTAAAACAAAGAATAAATTAATGAGGAAAATCGAATATTATGCTAACAATTCAAAAAGCTCAGTGCAAGAGACACCATCTCTTAGCTCAATTATATAGGCATACCTTGTTTTACTGTGCTTCACAGATGTTGTTTGTTTGTTTATTTAAAAAAAACAAACAACTTGAAGGTTTGTGGCCACCCTGCATCAAGCAAGTCTATCAGCACCATTTTTCAAACCAGCTCTGATGATGATTGGCATTTTTTAGAAATACAGTACTTTTGAATTAAGGTATGTCCATTGTTTTTATAAACATAATGCTATTGCATATTTAACAGACTACAGTATAGTGTAAACATTATTTTATATGTACTCAGAAACCAAAAAATTAAGTGTGACTCACTTTACTGCAATATTCGCTTCACTGTGCTAGTCTGGAACCAAACACAATATCTGAGGTATGCCTACACCAGATGTCTGAAAGGGTGAAGCCATTTATTGCTGGCACTACTTATGCTTTTGGAACCTGAACAGATCAAATAGAAGCCTGCAAATCTGAGTGGCCTCACTCTGGGAGACATTCTCATATATAATGGACGGGACAGTTATTAACGACTGAAGAGGATTCTAGTACTGTGCCAGTACAAGGCTGTTTTATTTTAAGGGATCTGTGTTCAAAGACTGGTAGGTGGATTGTAACATTGTGGTTTATAATAAATATATATATTTGGTCTTCATCCTGGTTTCTGGTGTAGAGCTCCTAAAAATTGGAATATCCTAAGTGTTAAGAGCTATGAAATTGTCTTGTTGTGTTAATAAAATGACTTCTGGAAAGCTTCATTAAGGTCATTAAAGTTGAATCATATGAAACTGCCAACATTTGACTGTTTTTCATTTTTGAAACAACAATTTCATATCGTTCAACCTAACACTAATTTCTAAATCAACTGTGGCAATTTATACTTTCCAAAAAAACCAACTCTCTCTAATTTTCCTAATTTATTCATCTGACCATATGATTATTTGCTTACAATCTTTTAATCACTATCATATTATAGTGAGTTTAATGTTAACATCTATAAAAATTCTTTCTTGAACTTCTGTAAAAAAATTATGGTATAAGTAAAACGTTCAATAAAATTTCAAATTCTAAGCATCAATTCTTAGTCCATATCTAAACTATAAACCCATAAGAAAGCCACAGGTTGCTTCCAGGGATTCTATGAACACATATGTCAAATTTATATATGAGTGCATACATGTATTTTCTTGGAAAAGAACCCATTAGCTTCATCAGATTCTCGAATGCCCAAATTCCCAAATTTTAAGATTGTTTTTGAAATGACACTTCACAATGTACATAAGTAACAAATGTGATGAAAATTTTATGAAATGAAGGGCAAGAAAAAAAGTCAACAAAAATACCATTTAGGAGTACAAAGATTCCAGTGTGAATATATATTTACTTCCTTTTTACTCAAAGAATTAAAGATAACATATAAAAATATAGAAGGAATCAAAATCATTATACATTATTGCTTAGTCTTCTGTAGACTCTGTGGATATGTAAAGACATGTGGCTTTCACCGAGGTTTCTAAACTCTTAAAAAATAGGTTTGTTATCAAAGATGAACTAAGAGTAAGATCAAGGCAAAAAAACAAAACAAAACAAAAAAAAGGAAATGAAGGTAACAGGAAATAAAATGTAAGATAAAGGGGAAACTAAATGTAAGGTGAACATAAAACCAGAAGAAGTAAAAATTTTTTATCTTAGAGTAAGGAAAACAATCATAAAAACAGAAAAAATAAGGAAAATAGTGCTTAACCATATAATTTATTACCTTTTCAAAGACAGTTGAAAAACAAAAGTAGGGAGGCATTGAAACATGAATAAATAGGAAACTGAAAAGCAAAGAAAAAAAGGCCACTTCCAATGAAAAATATAACCAAATTTTTCATTTTGAAGACAGTATCGCAAGTTTCTCTGTAGCATACTGAAAACGAAAAGGAGATAACTAACCTGTTGTACAAATTCCAAAGGCACTGGGGTAGCCTGTGTAAATGTTTCGAGGTGAATGCCATGGACAGGATCTTCAACTATCAAACAACCAATGTCAAACCACCTGTAACAGAATATATGACTTACCAGCTATTTACGTGCTAGATAATCTATAGCGAATAGACAAAAAGTAAAAAGTATAATCATTCATGTAAAACATTAGCAGATTTCAAAAAGGAAATGTTTTTCTAATTTTTAAAAGGACAATCTATAAAAACAATAAATAAAATTACCCTGTTGGCTTAATTCCAAGAAGAAAAAATAAGAATAAACGACAAAGAAAAAGTAACATGGAAAATTCCTTTTCTTTTAAGGTGGGGGGAGAAGAATGGGGTACTCAAATATGCAACAGATAAGTTTACTCATATAGACATGCAAATAGTTTGTTATAATATTTTTTAAAAGTCACTTGAGAAAATATGAGATTTTATATTACCATCTCTATCATTAATACAGAGCCAACTAGCAAAGTTATTAGCAAATTAAAAAATAAGCTCATTCAAAGGAAATAACAAATCCTTTCTTCATGCCTAATAAATCTTTTAATTACATTTTCTGAATTGTTCACAATTAATCACTCTATGAAAACAGCTTCACGATTAAAATGGACTTAAGTGAAATCAACTGTAACACTTCTAGCATTTTAGCTAACCAAAATCATAAACCAACAGATGCAGGATATGCAGCAAGAACATGTTCAATGTCTATTTTTAAAAATATATAGATCTAATAAATATAATGAAATATAAAGTGGATCAGGAGACTAATTTACATATTCAAAGCAACAAGTATAAATAGAATAATATAAGCAAAGAAGTATACATAGAAAAACAAGCAACCTTTCTGAGTATTAAAATAGTAGTTTGTAGTATTCGTATACAAAAAAATTTAAATTAACTTTAATAATTTACTTGGTATACTAATCAATGTTTTATTTTGCTTTACTTTGCACAATTTGTGTAGAGATAGTGGAGAGTAATTGTAGTGACTTAATTGTTAAGTATGGTCTTCCTGAAAAGAAGTCACTGAAGGGAGAAGTAAAGAGATTTTGTGATGCCAGTGAATATATTTTAGAAAACACCAAGGTCCCTTTGCTCTCTAAAATACTATCATAGTCCTGAACATGTCAACCTGGATATTCCATTCTCTTCAGCTCAATAAACCTAAAACTGCAATATCCGTCATCCCCACCAAACCTGTCCATTTCTTTCACTACCAGTGCCATTGGCTGAGAAACTTTCAGTTCTCCTCCCTCTTATTTCTACTTCACCTCGCTCCCCACTCCAGGCAGAGTGGTGATCTTCACTGATCACATTCAAGGACAGTCACTGAGAATCTCTCTCCCTCTCCTCTTATCCTCTCCATGTGGCTGGTGAAATTAAGATGGACTTGACCAATCTTATACAGAGGCCACTTATACCTGTAAAAGGCTTAAGAACTGTAGTTCTAAAATATTTAGATTCTGTGTGGCAAAAAAAATTTAAAAACAGAATCTGGGGAACTGATATAGATGAATCAACTTGTATTTTACAAAAATAGACCATCTACTATCACCAGTCAATTCACAGAACAAAGGACATTTTAACACATTTTAAGAACATTTTAGCACATTTAACATATAGCCCAAGATTTTACTATTTGATAGGTTTATCTCAGATTAAGGACAGTCAGTCCATGCTTACAAAGGCATTTTTCCATGTGTGTTATACACAATATGTTAATCAACAGCATAAACTGAAGCTAAGTTCATCACAGACAGCTAGCTCTACGCTGGCTCTACTCTCTGCTAGAAACCAAAGACATTTGGGATTTCTTTTTTTGGCCAACTTGCTCTTTCTGGATTGGTCTTTTCTTGCCTCATTTTCTTGAATTTATCTTTTGTGCATTTATCTCCCACAGGAACACCACAGAGAGAAGTAGCCAAAGAAAGAACTATCAAGTATTTTAGATCCTGGGTTTGCTGTTTGTTCTCCTGTCCTCCCTCTTTCCCCCTTCTCAACTGTACTATCACAACCTTTTCAGTCTCTCTCCTCCTTAACCCATACTAGAAGCCATCAATAGACTTCCTAATACTATTTATGATTTCTAATATGCTACTCTCCTGCTAAAAAGGAATTTGGTAGGAAAAAGACCACATCTAGGCATGATGGAGTAGTTTATGGCAGGCCAGTGCTCTCAATAAATAGCTGGACATCATCTACTTAAAGGCATCAAAGATCCACAGAAACAAAGAGGGCAAAATCGAGTAACATTCTGGACAAGGAGAACCTTTCAAAGGTGAGCTAAACACTGAGTGCAACCCAGCTGCAACTCAGCTTAGTCTGCACAGACACTATCATCTTACGCACCTCACAATTCTGTTTAATAAAAGAAAGGGTGACTCTCCTCAAGTTAACATGAAGACTCCACAGTTTCTTATAAACAACACCTGGCTTTTAAAGATTACTAGGCATTTAGAGAGCAACAGATTATCAAACCGAAAGAAAAAGAAGACTAAAGTAGACCTACATGTGACCCATACACTAGAATTAGTAGACACGATTTTAGCATATTCAAGAAAAGAGGTAAAGATAGCCAAAATAGATGAGAAGATACTCCTATGCAATCGGTAAATTGAATCTATTTAAAAACAACAACAACAAAAAACAACTGAATGTATAGGTGAACAGCATGCTAGACAGTAGAAGAGGTGGGATTGTTGAACCTGAAGACAGGTGAATAGAAAATAAACTGAAGAACAAAGAGAAAAACCGGAGGGTAAGAGGCAGTGACAATGTGAGAAATGTTCACAATGTGAGAAATGTTCACCTTCGGACAGTATTTCACAAGCATGTAAATAGAGTCCTCGAAAAAGAAAATGGGCCAGAAGCAATTTCTGAAGATATAATGGCAAAAAATTTTCCAAAACTGATGAAAGACATCAATTTGATGACAGAATCAAGCTCAGTGAATCCACAAAATATTAAATACAAGAACAAATAAACCTAGGCACAGCATAGTAAAACTAATAAAATGATAGAAAAAAATCCTAAAAGCAGCCAGAAAAAAATAACACATTATCTTCATAGAAACAATACTGAAATGGATGGCTAACATCTTAACAGAAATGACAGAAGCCAGAAAACAATACAGCTCTTAAAGTGCTGAAAGAAAAGAACTGTCGACTTAGACTTCTATATCCAGCAAAAATATCCTTCAAAAAGCACTTTCAGATAAACAAAAGCTCAAAAGAGTTCATAGCTAGAGTCTTCCATTACAAAACAGTACCGAAGGAAGTTCTTTAGGCAAAAGGAAAATGATCCCAGTCAGAAAAACAAAAACTGCAGAAAGGAAGCCAGAGAGTAAACATAAATGAATACTAACTGCACAGAAAAACACTAGTAATATCTTAAGAGTTTCAAATGTATGTAGAATAGAGATGTGACAACAATGCTGCAAAAGATGAAAAGGGTAAATGTTATTAAGTGGTTCCTGTATTCTCGAAAGTCATCATTTTTATTATAATGTAATATATTAAAAAGGCACAATGTAATCACTAATGTAATCACTAAAGTGACCATTAAATGAATAGTAAAATAAGGGGTAGAGGGAAAAACAAAATAATGATCACTGGGTGGTTCCCTGGTGCTTACACAAAAAATTCAAACTTCTAGCATTCAAAGCTCTTCACAATCTATCTGTCCCCAAAGCTCTTCCCGATTTCTTATCCAACAAACGTTCAGTGAAGCTGATATATAATCATATAATCACTGACCTCAGAATATATCTTAATTATATTCAGATTTTTCCTCTGTTCAGAATGTCCTATTCTTTTCCACTTATACAAATTCTACTCACTCTTCAAATCCAGTTTAAGTTCCAATTACTCATGAATCTCATCTGACATTACCTCCACTGAAATTATATATAGCATTTCCTATCAGCAAAAAATTACATACTTTCTTATACAATCATTTAAAACTACTTATGTATATATATTTTCTCTTCTAACAGGTCTATAATATATCCTTAAAGTTGGAGAATACTTTTTGTACACTATAGCCACAAACTGCTAGTACTAGGCACTGTTATTCAACTCTCAACAAATAAAATATTAAGAAAAACAAAACCACAATGTGATTACTAAAGAAGGTAGAGTTGCAAAGTTGGGAAGTTATTTCAATATAAACCAATACATATTAAAAAGAGTTCTGCCATAAAAAAGCCATCTAATAAAAGTACAATGCTCTCAAAAACAATGATAAATTGTTTGTTTTTTTTTTCCCAAACCAAATAGATGGTAGCTTAGTACAACTCAAATCTGGTACCTGCCACCAGGTTCTCTTGTCCACACGCTCCATTAATTTGAAAATTATGTAAATGACTGTGTTTGCTACTGGTGGTCAATATCCAAGTCAATATACCACTGATCACTTTATATTTAGTGCTATTATATTAAGTGATTATTAACAGATTCTTAGAACACAGATATTATCATCTCCATTTTATAGTTAAAAAGATTAGAAACGTGAGCTGAGCTACACAGGTCACATAGCTAGTTAAGTGATATAGATAAACCAGAACATACTTTTCTCTCTGGTTCTAAAACTGGATACATTTTTTGGCTAGGTATTCACTGTGAACCTCCTAGACCCAATTATATTTTGCTTTGAAGGGAAATATAATAAGCCTCTTACTGAACAATTATATACCAAAAATTGTACATCCTACAAGAAATGGGCAAATTCCTAGAAACATACAACCTACCAAGACCAAGTCATAAATAAAAAATCTGAACAAATCTATTACTAATAAAAGTATAGAATCATTAATAAAAAACTTCACAACAAACAAACGACAAGGACCAGATGGTTACACTAGTAAATTACACCAAACATTTAAAGAATACCAATCTTCAAACTCTTCCAAAAAATTCAAGTGAAGGGAAGGTTCCCAAACTTACTTTACAAGGCCAGCATTACCTTGATACCAAAATCAGACAAGGATACAAGAAAAAAGAAATACACAAGTAAATATCCCTGATGAACAAAGATGCAAAAATCCTCAACAAATTATCAGTGAACCAAATTCAGCAATATTAAAAGGATAATATATCATGAACAAGTGGATTTATTCCAGGGATGAAGGATGGTTTAACACACAGAAATAAGTCAATGTGATACACATTAACAAAACAAAGGCTAATAAGCATATGATCATCTTTAGATGCATAAAAGGCATCTGACAAAATTCAATACCATTTATGATAAAAATTCTCAACAAAGTGGGCACAGATAGAACATACCTCAACATAAAGGCCATATATGACAAGCCTACAGCTATAATCATATTCAATAGTGAAAAGCTAAAAGCTTTCCCTCTAAGATCAGGAACAAGATGAAGATGCCCACTCTCACCACTTTTATTCAATATGGTATTGGACGTCTTACAGCAATTAGGCAAGGAGAAGGAAAAAAAGGTATCCAAGTCAGAAAGTAAGAAGCAAAACTGTCACTATTTGCAGATAACAAGGTATTATATTTAGAAAATCCTAAAGACTACATCAAAAAAACTGTTAGAGCTAATAAACAAACACAGTAAAATTACAGGATACAAAATTGACATACAAAAATCCGTTGCATTTCCATATGCTTAATAATAAACTATCAGAAAGAAAAACTAAATCCCTATCAAAATTTCTATGGCACTTTTCACAGAAATAGAACGAAGAATCCTAAAACTTGGATGGAACCACTAGACCCTGAATAGCCAAAGCAATCTTGAGAAAGAAAAGCTGGAGGCATCATGCTCCCTGATTTCCAACTACAGTATAAAGCTGTAATAATCAAAACGGTTTGGTACTGGCATAAAAACAGACATATAGGTCAATGTAACAGAACAGAGATCCCAGAAATAAACCCGCATATATGGTCAATTGATTTATGAGAAAGGAGTCAAAAATATACTCTGGGAAAAGGACAGTCAGTCTCTCTAATAAATACTTCTGGGAAAACTGGACCACTATCTTTATACCACACACAAAAATTAACTCTAAATGGATCAAAGATTTGAACATAAGATCTGAAATTACAAAACTCTCAAAGAAACTATAGGTGGTAACCTCCTTGACATCGTTGTTGGCAATGATTTTTTTAAAAAAACAAGTGGGAACACATCAAATTAAAAAGCTTCTGCAGAGCAAAGGAAATTGACAAAATGAAAAAGCAATTTACTGAATGAGAGCAAACCATATATGTGATAAGGGGTTAATAGCCAAAATATATGAAGAATTCATAGCAAAAAAAAAAAAATTAATATTCTGATTATAAAATGGGCAAAGGCTTGAATAAGACAGTTTTCTAAAGAACATACAAAGATGGGCAACAGGTACATAAAAAGGTGCTCAACATCACTAACCATCAAGAAAATGCAAATCAAAACCAAATTAAGATATTTCCTCACACCTGTTAGAATGGCTATTATCAAAAAGGCAAGAAATAGCAAATGCTGGCAAGGATGCAGACAAAAGGGAAATCTTGCACCCTGTTGGTGAGAATGCAAACTGGTACATCCACTATGAAAAATAGTATGGAGGTTCCTCAAAAAATTAAAAATAGAACTAGGTATGATCCAGCAAATTCCACTGCTGGGTATATAGCCAAAGGAACCGAAAACACTAACTCAAAGTGTCTACTAGTGGATGAGCTGATAAAGAAAATGTGACACCTATGCATGTACATTTGCACGCGCACGCGCATACACACACATACACACACACGAATATTATTCAGCCATGAAAAAGGAAATCTTGCTGTTTATGACAACATGTATGAACCTTGACCACTGCTGGGTATATAGCCAAAGGAACCGAAAACACTAACTCAAAGTGTCTACTAGTGGATGAGCTGATAAAGAAAATGTGACACCTATGCATGTACATTTGCACGCGCACGCGCATACACACACATACACACACACGAATATTATTCAGCCATGAAAAAGGAAATCTTGCTGTTTATGACAACATGCATGGACCCTGAGGGCAATATGCTAAATGAAATAAGTCAGACAGAGATAGACAAATACTGTGATCTCAGTTATTTATGGAAATTAAAAATAAACAAGAAAACCAGAACTCAAAGAGATATTGAGAACAGACCGGTGATTGCCAGAGGTAGGGGTGGGGGCATGGGTGAAATGGTTGAAGGGAGTCAAAAGGTACAGACTTCTAGTTACAAAATAACTCATGGTGATGTAATGCACAGAATTATACTGTACTGTATATTTGAAAACTGCTAAGAAAGATCTTAAAAGTTCTAAGGAAAAAATATAACTATGTAAAAAAAAAAAAAAAACCCTCTTACTTGTCGGGTAGCAATTCTGCAATGAAGTTTTCTACTGACACCGCAGTCTGTTTTTCATGGATCACTCCAGTGCGACGCAAAGTATCTATCCGTTCTTGAGCCCCCTGAATAACAAGTGTAGGTTAGACACCATTTCAAGTTATTCAGTATTAAACATACTAATTTATGATTATACAAGCAATATATGCATACATTTATGTACAAATACATATATACTCACTGTAAACATTCAAATACAGAAGACAAAAAGTAAAAAAGTCCAATTGTGTTCCATCAGTATAGTATTAACAATTTGAACTGTACTTTCCAAATTATTCCAATGTGCATTAGTATTTTGGTTGCTATTGTGAAATAGATTATTTTTATATTCTATGTTCCAACTGGTTATTACTAATATAAGGAAACTACGTACTTTTTAGTGCTGATCTAGCAAGAGGCCCTCTAACTAAGTAAAAATCTTTTATCAGTCCCAGTAGTTGTTTAGTTGATTCTCTCTTGAATTTTCTGAGTAGGCAATCATATCAACAGTAAATATGTCTTTTCTCTTCTTATAACCTTAAAATATGCACCAAACTGGAAATGTGTACATTAGACCAAAGCTTATTCAGGAGTATTTTAACCATTAATGAAACAAAAGTGAAGGCTGTGAACACTATACAGATAACTCAAAATCATGAATTAAATATATTAGTTGAAAACTAAAAACTGGATTAATGAGAACAAGGTTGCTGTTTATTACTTTTATCTGAATCACTTCAAAAATAGCCATTATGAAGATGTGTGAGAATATGTTCGAAAAGCAAGATAAAAACTTCTACTTCTGAATTAAATCAGCCATGGATAAATACCTATTTTTATAATGGATAGCAGAGCTTAACAGTGAATGAGATAAAGTGATCAATTCTTATTCAAATGAAAACTGAGAAAGCTAGGACACTTCTAGAGACAACTGAATTTATCTCAGAGATAACTGAAAGAAAGAAGGTGACAACTGTATGAGGACAGGGAAACCAATTTAAGACATAAGCTTATCTGAGTGAGGAGTTTCTCCTATGTAGGATCTAAAATGGACATCCAGAAGGATGTTCCACCCCCTAAAGCAGCAGCCAATGACATATATCTGTGGAGAATGTCACACAGAAAATAAAATCCAGGATTCCAATCAGATGCTGAGAATGTGGATACAGAATAACGTACAAGAACAGGACTAAAAGATTGGTGGTTTTTGATGCTTGATGAAACATGGAATTCTCAGAGGAATATCTTTGTATTTGGATTTATTTTTAATTTATTGTATAGCTTTCATGAGTGTACTCATCTTTATAAATACAACTCTATACACAATTTTATTTTAAAAACCATATTGTCTTTAGGTATCTATTAATAGTTAATATAAGGAAATTACTTTTTATTCAGTTACAAAAAAGACATTAGCTTAAAAAGATGGACGAAAGAAGATATGATTTAAACCACAATAAAATCGAGACTGTATTTTTGCTTACTCATATCTCTAGTATCTAGCAGTGTGTAACCTAATAGGCATTCAGTAAGAACACATTACATGAAAAACAGAACAAAGGAAAAAATAAAGGGCTTCTGAAGCCTTATAGCGCTAATGTTAAGAACCTATTGTAAATATGGCTTCACCAAAGCTAATAATACTAAATGAGGCAGGTGTTGAATTTGAACGAAAATATAACAGATAAGATAAACTTAATTCTTTATAATATATATTGTAAATAATATATATTTATAATATTGTAAATTTATGTAATTCACTCCTCCAAAGAGGTAGTTATGGCTTAATTTTAATTATGAAGAAGCTTAAATAAATAAATAAAAAGA